GCACAACTAAATGTTATAGCAGTCTTGTATACAAAATTTCGACATTCTGAAGCTTCTCGTTTTTGAGTTATGCGAGATACATACGTACAGACGTACAGAAGCCACAAAAAAAATCTCTTCTGAATCCATTTTAAACTAGTTTTATAATTCGTTTGGGGAAAAAGAGCCCTTTATTCTGTCCTTACGTACAGATGTCACGCAAAAGCATCGTTAAATTGAATTCGATAGCGATCATAAGACGTGAATATGTGCCCCAGAGTTTCGTGACAATCGTACAAGGAAGTAAAAAGGAAGAAATCTTAGCTTTTGTAATTTGAGCTGCTATCACGAGTATTGTATTTTTACAGAAATCGGTTAAATCTTTATCGATTTATGTTTTATAACAAAGAAAAATATTACTAGAATAAAACTATCTGCAATCTGGAAACAATGCAAGAACCTACCCTTTGGAAAATGACGCGATGAAAAAACTATTATGATGAGTGCATACTAGATATACTATTATGATTTATGAATGAGTGTATACTAGAAATACTCGGAAGGGGGGCAAAGCTAGGTAAGTTGACTGACCTGTTATACAGAGATGACGACTTATATGCATTCGATTCTTTTTTTACCACTTACCACCCTTAGATGCCTTCAACAACTTCACAAATAGCCTGAGAATTTATCATGACTATCATCAATTGAGAATATTAATGCCTAAATGCTTTTTATTTCCTGATAACCACGCAAGTAAATCATAAAAATATTCCCATTCATTAACGTAGTTAAACCTCGCTTAATGAGCACCTCCCATAATGAGTGACATATATAATAAGCAAAACGAAATGTAAAAAAAATTACTTCTTTAACGAGGAGTGTTTTGGCAGAATGAGTGACGTTAAAAATCGTGACGTCACATGCAGGATTCTGCATGTATCTCGGCCACTAGTCTGTGTTTAGCGGTCGTTCATCGGACATGTTACTGTCGCTTGTGAAAGCTGTATTTAGACACATTATTGCGTATTTTTTTAGTGCAAAGTTTAAACATGTTTACATGTTTGTCCCCAAAGAAAATGGCGCAAGACTTCATCGCCTAAGAGTTGTATCTTCTGCATGTGGAAGGGGTGCCTATTTTCTGCATGCAGAACCTTCCTCACCATCTTGTGCTGAATGCCCATTTTATCTGGAATCGATCATGTACTGGCCGACGGGAAATTGCACACCGCATCAATACCCAGTTTTCTGTTTTAGGGTATGCACACACTGCATTCTTGTCTTGCATTCACCTCGTTACTTGGAAGAATCCCGTCTCCCGCAGTCCTCGATGTTCGTGAAGGTGGTATGATGCAAAAACCGCTTCCGCGATATTGCTGTTGGTACATCCTCTGTGCTAGGCGTCCATTGCAACTTGCTTGGCCGTAAATCAGATGCATATGGGCAAATTCTCGTTCATGTAATCTGACATCTTGTTTTCGAATGACGTTTCACACCGGCGAATTCTGCAATGCCCATTAATGAACTTCAACTCCCGATGTATACCGAGACTACCGTGCTTTTAGAACGCTGTTTATCGGTAACCATGAAGTAAAGATACCTAAAATGGCGATGAAAGTAAAGTTTGTCATGTCAGAGGCACTCCGAAGAGAGACTAGCAGATACAAAAAGGGGCCCCACTAATGGATACTTGCTCGCTGCTTTTATTTTCCCCATACGCAATAGGAATTTGCATATGAGAAGGTTTCTTCTTTTCGACCGAAGTGCTAATCCTCGCATTCGTTTGGCCATTCCCTTCGTCAGGCTCACTGTCCTCTCGAAGTTTATTTTTGCAGTTTTCACCGACTAAATGTGGTTCACGACCCGATGATCTATGGTAATTTTTCATTCTTTTGCTCGAATTCGGTCGGTGAAATCCGGCAACACTCTGTATATTATAGGACGCGGACAGTTAGCAGTTTTGCTTGCTTTTTTCACCAAATGCGCATACGCAATCTAACCCCTTATTTTGCTGGCGATAGCAACTTTTTGCCATTCTTTAATACACAGAGAAATAGAAATAAACATAGACATGCACAAATAGAAAAAAACACAGACAAATACATTATTATTATAATAAACCAAACAGACTAGTTTCGGTTATATTGCGCATGCGCATTTGATGACAATATTACTACTATGCAGACAGGCGAATACGTATAAGCAAAAGACGCAGCATCGGAATTAACAACAAATAAGATAGGCTGCTGAGGCATTCAATTTTTTCCTTCTTTTATTTGAAAAGATGATATAAAACCCTTTTGTAATTAATAACATTATTATTCACAAAATTTAAAATTAAATCTGTATATATATAATATCAAAGATGGATTCGGCAACATATTTTTAGATTTATTATTATTCTTCGAATATTAAAAACGTTATAAGTAACGGGCCCCATAAAAGCGTCGGCCCTCAAGCATTGCCCATATTCCTGCATATCTTTAGCCCTATCACTGATCAAAATCTATTCTCAGCTTCCCAAAACTTATTCTTTACTAAAGTCCACGGACGGACAACAGATCTTTTCAAATGTTAAAAAACTCTTCACAAAAGAGCTCTTCCAGCGTTTTCTTGAGTTGGCTGAAGGAAATATCCTCATTCTGAGGAAGAGATTTGGAAAGACCATTTCACATCTTTGCCTGCTTCAAGAGGATCCACAAGGTATGGGAAGGGCACCAAGAGAACCCTCATTTCTGAATGGAAGAAGCGTTGGCCGAACCCTGCTGTCGAAAGGTTTGGGCAAGACTTGTGGCTATTGTAATCGACCAGAGTCTGTCTTTGGCCAAGATCATGGCTAAAGGTGGATAGATATGAAATCGATGAGCTTATGGGTCCGTATTCTGCGTCACATCAACTTGCGGAGGAGATTTCGTCAAGGGAGGCTGTTCAAAACAACTTCAGCAAAGCAGCTATCTTCCAGGGGGGAAAAAAAGGGAAATGCTGAAAGTATGGGAAACTGGTTGCATCGTAAGTTTTGAAGCATCACTATAATAAAGTAGTAGTAGTTATGTGCGCTGCAAATTTATTTAACGATAATGCTGTGCCTTAGTTTCTTCAAATTTTGATGCGTAGGCAAAAACAAATGCCTTTAGACACCTTCCTTGTGAAAAAGGATACATTATAAATAATAAACTGCATTATTATAAATTTGTTTGAGTATTGTTGTTCGAAATGGAACTCATTAATCTTACTTTACATTGGATTCAGGGCCAAAAATTAGTTCACTTAAGAGTGCTTCACATTGCAAGTACGGTTCGGGAACCAACTGTGTTCGTTAAGGGAGGTTCTACGATAAAAATAAATGCTTAAAGCTTTATTAAGGATAGTTTTAATTGCTTTCTTTCAATGAATGAAGAAATTTAAATTGATATGCGTATGCCATTTGTCAAATAAATAAATAAAATAAAATTAATTTACTATGAAGTAATTTTGAATGATTTTAGTTGAAATTAGCTTGGAATTTAAAATGCATCAAAGTTTTAAATTTAAAGCAGGGCATAAAAGGGCAAGAATCACAGATTGTCTTGCATCTGTTTACAATACTTATTTTTAAATTGCCGTTAATGTATTTAAAATTTAAGGACTAATTACAACTAATTACAATTCATATTAGCCTTCTTGGCTAATATGGATTATACTAAATTTATAGCTAGTTATAAATTAGAATATGGCAAACATTTAAAATATAACGCTGATTTTTGTTGTTTGACTTGTGAATTAGTATTTAAATTGAACATAAAAAAGCTCTTATTTGCAGATGTAATATTGTAAACTTAAAACATTTATGAAAACTCAATTTAAGAATACCTCATAAGCAATGTTATTATTTTATTGGAAATTTAATTGAATTTTTGTTATAAATATAATAATAATAATAATATGAATCTGCTTCTTCAGATTCTTTCTTAATACTAAAGCAACACTTAATTAAATTTATTTTGCTATTTTCTTAAATTATATCGCATATGGTGCTTTTTTGTAAAAATATTCTGAGTCTGCGTTTATTTTGTTCTCTTTCGATGTCAGTCATTTTAACTGTCTTATTTACCGACAGTCTTTTGTAGATAATCCGCGTATTAAAACTTTTGAATTTCATTGTGGCAGCGTTTCGAAGGAAAATAAATTAATGATACTGAAACAGACTCCTGATGTTGTATATTACATAACTTCTATGTATTGAAGAAACTTGAATAGCACGTTTTATTCCCTACATACTGTTTTAATAAATTTGAAAATGTCAGTTTCTCCATATGAATATCCAAGAAACCTTTCGCATGAATATTACTCTTGATGACTTATTAAATGTTATAAAATGAGTAATTTCTTAAAAGTAATGATCGAAGATCTAACAGTAATGTTCCAATTAAATGTCTTTTATTGAAACCCATATACCACGAAATAAATATAAGAAATTTTTAATTTTTAAAACTGGAATTCAACTTTTCAGGAATTAACGTATTAATAAACAGTTATAATCTGCACGAGATTCCAAGGATGATGATACATTGAAACTGAATGTAATCAATAAAAATTTGACATAATCGTTTTCGAAATAAATAATAATGTATTTGTATTATAATCACCTTTAAAAAATTAGGGAATTAATTTGTCTTGGCAGAGAGTCCGGAATATATTTGCTTAGTTTAATATTTAGTGATTTGATTCAAATCCAAACATTTTTAATAGAATCGAATATTAAATCAATATGAAAGAATTTTATGTGGATCACCTAAGGCCCAAATCTGATCATTTTCATTAATTAGTTTACCTTTAAAACCATACATCTAGATTTATTTTCTGAACCATGCTTGCTATTAAAATACAAGCAATTACTGGGAAACATTGGCAATTACGAGAGTCAAAATTGCTTTAAACGTTAATATTATGAATAAAATCCAAAACGTCATCCAGTTATCTTTCTGATGCTCTCGAAATTTATTATAAGGTATGAAGATATGCAGTTTAACAAATTATCTTACCAGTATCTGTAAGGATAGGTACTACAGCAGTGGGATCTGTCGAGCTTAGAATGGAACCAAACACGAAGCAGACAATCCAGTCCCAACCATAAGGCTGTAGGATACTTTTTGCAAACACACCAGTCAACACTGTACATAGCACTAAAATGAAGCAAATAATATCATATTTCAAAATTTTACGATTTTCATCTTCGTTCTCCATTTCCGTTTTTTTACTGAAACAAGTCTTTATTGTATGATTATATTTATCTTAGAAATGTTTCAGACAAATAAAAGCATGAAACAGATTTTTGAGAAGCACAGACTATAGGTTGAAATTCCTTAAGTAATTAAAAATGAATGTTAAAAACTTAATTAATCAAAAATACTTTCCTGCGATAAACATTTGAAATTAAAATTCTACAGAAAAAAGAAAGAAATTTTAATTGACATTATTTTCTGTTATCACAATCATTTAAATAATTAAGCTTGCTAATTTTTCCATCATTTATGAAAGTACAGTCAAAAGTCGTTAATCCGGACTCGTCGGGACTTCGGCGATTCCGGATTATCGATTTTTCCGGATTATAGATCATCCGTTTAAATCTCGTAACATGGCATGCAGAAATTCTAAAATTAAAAAAAATATGAAACCGTAATTTATGAAATAAAGAACAATTATGATCTAAAGGGTATCAAAATTTACAAAAAAAAAAAAAAAAAGCTTAATATTTATTTGTTTACTTTATTAAACATTTCTGTCAATGTAAGTTGTTTAAGTTGCTTCGTTTTATGTGATAATACTTTCTCTTTAATTCTATAAACAGACATAATTTCTTGTTCAGTTACAAAGTTCTGCTGTTCAAGTCCCGTAATTGCTGTGCCGAGAATACCGACTAACTTGTCAATCGAAATTTTTTCGTTTTCACTAACCTTTCTGTCAACTTCTTCATGTCTTTATCCATTTTTTGCAGCAATTTCACTTTTTGTTTGATGGACATCGAAACATACTTTCTTTTGTAGATCCTTTGGGAGCTCCATCGGAAATTCTATTTGTCATAATCGAAAGTTCAAGTTTACTTTTAGAACATTGCTCTTACAGTCTTCAAAAAATAATAAGCCGCACCCAATTCGAAGATTAAGGAACAACGCAATCATCAACATTAACTGAAATAGATAATTTTAGCTTATACGGTCCGTTATACATTAAACGCGCACGCGAAAACGTATTCTGCACTTGCGCACACGCATATGCGCAGTCGTAAAGGTCTTACGCGCACGCGTAAACGCCTATGCGCATGTGTCAACGCGGCGGATGCGCAGAAAGTTTTAGCTTTGAGGTCCAGATTATAGATCATTCCGGATTATGGGTGTCCGAATTAACGACTTTTGACTGTATTATATATATTTGTGTGTATGTGCAAAATAAAAAATATGTAAATCAGCTTTATAATTCAATTTAAGAATAGGCTTTAAATTCCTCATTTTCAATTTGGGTATTTCGTCTCTCTATTCTAAACATAACAAAAAATAACAACATTTCTGAACTGCGACAGTTCTAGATCAGTCTTTCCATTGAGCGTGCGTAACGCTGATGACGTAGTTAATTCGGAATCTAAACTCTGATAACTTTCTAACCTAAACCAAAACTTTTATCTTAACAAACTGCCATATTGGATAACTGCGCACTTTAGCTTCAGAGTCTGTGCTGCTTGGACGCTGTTTTGCTATGCTCCCTTCTTATCGCAATAATATCAAAAATGTAAATGTTCTTGAATAGGCACGACTAGAATGCCAAGTGAACTGTGACCACACATGTGAATTTAAATAAATATGGAATTTAATCTGGATCGACTGCTTCTTCTTCAAAGTGGATCTACGCTCTAAACATCACGTATCTACGTCTCAGTGTTCCTGCATCAGTACTTCTAAAGCTTGCTTGATTTTTACTTCCTTGTACGAAGTAAAAAGGAAGTATTGTAATCGCGAAAAGTTTCAGGCAGCATATTTCAACGAAAATATCCATTTTGAACGAATTTAATTTTTTTGCGCGATATTTTTAAAATAAAGAAAATACTCTTTTTCTTCAAAAAAATATTAAAAACTGCTTTAAAATTAATTCTGAAGAGAATTTTTCGTGGCGTCTGTACGAACGTATGTACGTACGTATCTCGCATAACTCAAAAACGAGTAGCCTTGACGTTGAAATTTTGTATATAGGACTACTATAACATGTAGATGTGCACCTCGTATTTTGGTTGCAATCGGCAGCACCAAACGTATATAAATATATTTATATATCTATCCACTCTATTACCCGGCTCAGTGATATCAGTTTCTTTACTCTAATATGTTTGTAAATTGTACATTTTTTGCTTTAAAAATGATTGAATTATGTTGTTTTTATCTTCCGGTTAAGGATTTTATGCCTTTAGTAAATCTGTGTGCAATATTTTTAGAATTATCAGCAATTTTAAAATTGTTTAATTGCCGCTAAGCCTGTTTTCAATGGCGGGCATTGATGTTTACATTTGAAACAGGAGACTGGTGGATTTGTTGCCAATCTAGAGAAACTTAGCTTCGCAACAACAAAGATAACGCATTCATTTATTATTGCCAATTAAATCATGCTTAATTCTTTCTGGAATTTTTTCGAGGAAATAAGCGTTTGAGATTTACTTCGTAATTTTTAATACAGATATTTTGAGTTTTTATGTATTTTTGCCTTCTCGCGAAGTGAGACTGATGAATTAATTAAATGAGAAATACTCATCGTCTGTGAAAACGGTTCCTTTTGTTTTGTTATTTAATTTCTTTTATACATAGTTCAAGCTTTATTATAGTATTTGAATAGAAAATGTGGCAACGATTAGATAATTCTTTAAATGATATATACATTTTGTGCATTCTGAGTTATAATATGAAGGAAATATAATAATGTTAAAGTAAACCTAGCGCCAGAGTGTCGCTATGGTAACAAAGTGAATTTTAAAGAATGCATTTATTCTATTGTGGTTTATGCGCTGTCGGCGAAGTAGGTTTAATTCAATCTAATAAGTTTAAATAAAATGCAAGAAAAAATGCGTATAATTTAATTTTCCGTACAAGGAAGTCATGTGGTGTACACATCAGATTTTTTTTTTTTTAGTCGACGAGAATGGTTACCTGCTGCGTCCAAATCCAGTGGAGAAATGAAACCTCTTTCAATATTCAAAAACGGGAAAAATATTCCTATGAACCGCGTTGCTTCAGAAAATAATCCAGCAAAGTGTTTATATTAAAAGCGATATGATGCCTCTTCTCAGTGATATAGTGTATTAAGGTTCCAAATTATTTCAGCATTACAGCGATTCTAAAGTCGTTAGTCTACTTATACTACGTGCTTTAAGTGTGCACGTGTTAGCAATTTATTTTCTTTTTGTTAATCGAATAGTTTGTAGAACGAAAACTGAAAATTATTATCTTAAAATAAGGCTCATTTGCAATGGAACAAAACTCAAATAGTGTTAAGGATTCTAAAATTTCACACAAGATATTTTATGAATAAAATAAATTAATGTAGCTAGAAATTTGTACATTATGAGCATATATAAATTGCTAATCATTAGTATTAGATTGAAAATCTAGGTATGCTGTTTTTCGTATTATATAAAATTTTTAAAATGGTGCATTCTTTTATGAAGAGTAAAATTTCATGGTGTCAAAAATTTAATTTTTCATAATTTTGTTATAAGATAGGTAACGAATTTGAAAGATTTGCAAAGATATTATGTATGGAGGGTTATTAACATGATTAATATATTTCTGTGTATTGTTTAAATGCTTTTTGAATTAATATCGTGAATTTGTTTTATTATTTTAACAAAGAAATTTTTGTTTAAAAATTTGAATTCTAAGAATTTTCTAATTATTTTAAGAATGAAGTGATATAAACTTTGAAGATTTCCACTTTTATTTTTTCGTGTATAATAATTATTATTTTTCAATATAATGGAGTGTAGTTAATTGATTTTAGTAATAAAATGATAGAACAGTTCAAAAAGGCCAGTTACCTCTATCCAAGGAACGGAGACCTTTTATACAGTAACTGCCAATTTAGCATTCTTTTGGCTACTGGTGCATAACAAATACACCAGTTCGCTCAGTTGGATATGCTAGTATGATGGATATGTTAGTACACTGATTATCATAAATTAAGGAAAAATCACAAAATTCACGATTACTGAAAAAATTACATGTAAAATTTTATGAAACTTACCCACAATATACAACACATAGTAAGGTATCAAACAGCATAAAAAGAAATTACCAGACAATTATGGTAGTATAGAAATTAGCATATGTATAAAATGAACGAATCAAAGATGTCAGTTTGCTATAGTAAAAGTACCTTCAATATGGAATATGATCGCCTCTAGAAGCAATACAGCGCATTCAGCGCTGTGTGATGCTTTCAATTATGCGGTCTATTAGTTCCACAGGAAGCGAGAGCCATCGCTCTTGCAAAGCAGTTGCAAGCGCGGCAAGGGTCTAAGGGGGTGGATTGAGAGCAGCTAGACGTCTCCCTAAAGCATCGCAAACGTGCTTTATAGAATTCAAGTCCGGGGATCGAGCTGGCCACTCCATGCGCATAATTGTTTCCTGTTGAAGATAATCATATACGATGCGAGCCCTGTGTGGTCTTGCATTGTCGTCCTGTAACAGGAAAGCATCACCTATTGCCCCTGCATATGGGCGCACATAAGCATCAAGGATGTCATCTCTATAAACATGAGCATTCATGGTTACCCTTGGAAAAACATGTAGGTCTGTGCGTGCATCCAAAGAGATGCCACCCCAAACACAGACATTGCCTTTTCGGTATGCATCTCTTTCACGGATGTTTGACGAATGATAACGGGTTCCAGGTTCTCTCCATATCCAAATCAATAGTACTTGTACTATCGCTTTCTAAGACTAAACCTGGACTTCATCCGTAAAGAGAATAGCCCTCCATTGCTCAGGCGTCCAGTGGACATGCTGTCGTGTCCACTGCAAACGGTCCCTCCTATGGTGTGACTTGAGCAGCACGCAAATGGTTGTTCGCCTCGCATGCAGACCACCTTCGTGAAGCCTTCTACTCACAGTTGACGTTGACACCAACCTTCCGGTGGCTGGAGCAA